TTGCCGGGTTTGATATGATTCTTGGCGTTCATTGACTCCGGGGTTTGGGTTCCATTTTGTGGGATTTTGCTCATCTTTCTATGAAGTTCAACTGGAACGGACGAGCAATCGAGTGGCATGGCCAGGAAGCAGCCCCGAAATTGCAGGTACACTTGCTGGCAAGCTCTCAAAACAGAGACAACACTCTTAATGGCTTACTGTCCCATTATGAAGAATTGTTCTCTCATCCAGTAGGCTTGCCCCCTCAACGCACATGTGATCACCACATTACTCTAGTTCCAGGAGCCGGACCAGTAGTTGTCAGACCTTATCGCTACCCCTATTTCCAGAAAGATGAGATTGAACGACAATGTTCTGAGATGCTGGAGCAAGGCACAATTCAGTCCAGTCATTCACCCTTCTCATCCCCGGTGTTACTGGTCAAAAAACCCGATGCCTCTTGGCGCTTTTGCATTGATTACAGAGAATTGAACTCTAAAACTGTCAAAGATAAATTTCCTATCTCAGTCATCGATGAACTGCTAGATGAACTGCATGGAGCCAAATTCTTCACAAAGTTAGACCTCCGCTCTGGGTATCACCAAATTAGAATGGCTCCCGAAGACGTTCATAAAACAGCTTTCAGAACCCATCATGGCCACTTTGAATTTTTGGTCATGCCATTCGGTCTTACAAACGCACCGTCCACATTCCAAAGTCTGATGAACGATATATTCAGGCCATATTTACGGAAGTTCGTTTTGGTTTTCTTCGATGATATCTTAGTTTACAGCAAATCTTGGGTAGAACATGTTCACCATGTTCGACTCGTCCTCGATGTGTTGCGTCATAATGGCCTGTTTCTCAAGCAGTCCAAATGCAATTTTGGAACTGTCCAAGTTCATTATCTTGGGCATGTTATCCATAGTGGAGGGGTTGAGGTTGATAAAACTAAGATTCAAGCAGTAATGGATTGGCCCACTCCGGGATCAATCACTGCTTTACGTGGTTTTTTAGGCCTGGCCGGTTACTACCGCAAATTTATTCAACGCTTTGGAGAAATTGCAGGGCCTTTGACCCAATTATTGAAGAAGAACTCCTTTGTCTGGACAGACAGTGCAGCTAAAGCTTTCCACCAGTTAAAACTTTGCCTCTCAACAGCGTCAGTGCTACAACTACCGAATTTTCAGCAAGCATTTGTGGTCGAGTGTGATGCTTCAGGCACTGGTTTTGGTGCGGTGTTGCAGCAGGAAGGGCATCCAATTGCTTACTTCAGCAGAAAGATCGCGGATCGCCATGTTAAACTTCCCGCCTATGAACGAGAACTGATTGGATTGGCTAAAGCAGTCACCCACTGGCGTCCTTATCTGTGGGGCCGTGAATTTGTCATTCAAACTGATCATTCCAGCCTCAAACATCTATTGGATCAACGCCTTACAACGTCCCCACAACAGCACTGGTTGAGCAAATTGATGGGGTTCACCTTTCGAGTTGAATACAAGCCTGGTCGACTTAATGTTGCAGCCGATGCACTCTCTCGCCGCGATGAAGGAGAGATTTCTTTGGCAGCTCTCACAGTTCCATTTAATTCCTTACTCAGCGAAATACGGGTAGAACAGGCGGGCTCCTCCGTGATTTCAGAAATCCGATCCCAGATCACAGCGGGTAGTCGCACAACAGATTGGACATTGGTAGATGGGTTAGTTTATTTCAAGTCTAAACTATATTTACTGGATTCCTTTGCCATTATTTCGACCCTCCTTTCAGTTTTCCATAGCATGGCCCATGAAGGGGTGGAAAAGACGCTGCAGCGTCTCCGTCGCGAGTTTTTCTGGCCTAGCATGAAATCAACCGTGGCAGCATTTATTCAGAATTGTCAGACATGTCAGCAACATAAATGGTTGAATTTGCAGCCGGCAGGGCTCCTTCAACCGCTCCCGATTCCACAACACATTTGGGCAGATATATCGATGGATTTTGTAGAAGGGTTGCCTAAGGTGAGAGGTAAGACAGTGATATTGGTGGTTGTTGATCGTCTTTCCAAAGCAGCGCATTTTCTTCCACTGGCACACCCGTTCACGGCAATTTCTGTTGCAGGGGTCTTCTTTGCCGAGATATTCCGCTTACATGGACTGCCAGAATCTATCGTCTCTGACCGGGATAAGATATTTGTGAGTTCCTTTTGGAAAGAACTATTTCGGTTGGCGGGCACTAAACTGGCTTTTTCCTCTGCCTATCATCCTCAAACCGATGGTCAAACTGAGGTAGTAAATCGTACATTGGGAATGTTTTTGCGATGCCTTACAAGTGATTACCCAAAAGAATGGGTTCGTTGGCTCCCATGGGTGGAATACTGTTATAACACCTCTTACCATACGTCTTTAAGGGATACACCATTTCGTCTTGTTTATGGTCGTGATCCACCTAAACTTATCTCATATGTCCCTGGGACGGCACGATTAGAGGGTGTGGACCGTGAGCTTCTTAGCCGGGATCAACTCTTGGCTAAGGCCCGAGAGCGGCTAGCTCAAGCCCAGCAACGTATGAAGATGCAGTATGACAAAAATCATCGCGATCTTTCCTTCCAGGCAGGAGATTAGGCAGGAGATTGGGTCTGGCTACGCATTCATCCTCACACACAACTCTCCCTAGGTCGTGGTAACCATAAATTAATTCCAAAGTTTCATGGACCATTTCAGGTTCAGTCACGAGTTGGAGAAGCAGCATACAAATTGAAATTACCACCAGCAAGCCGCATTCACGATGTGTTTCATGTCTCTCTTTTAAAGCCCCACAAGGGGACCCCACCCACAACCATGGGAACTCTGCCATTGCTAGTTGACCCCCCTGACGAAATCACACCGCTTGCTATTCTCCGCAACCGTCTGCATCATGGCTCCTTAGAATTCCTGGTCCAGTGGAAGGGGAAAGCAATTGAAGAAGCCTCCTGGGAAACTGCAGATACATTTCGGGCCGCGTATCCAGATTTTGAGCTTGAGGACAAGCTCCTTGTCAACGAGGGGAGTGATGTTATGGACAAGTTTTGGGGCCAAAAATATCAAAGGCGCAGGATTTGGCAAAGGGGTGATTGGGCCGAAGAAATTCAGCCCAATGAGACCACTGAAAGTGGCTGACTTTGGGAGCAAGTTCCTGCATTTACTTTATTGTTTTTTAATTCAGTTTAGCAAGTTTCCTAATTCAGTTTTAAGTAAGTTTCCTAATTCAGTTTTAAGTAAGTTTCCTAATTCAGTTTTAGTAAGTTTCCTAATTCTCTTTAAGGAATCTTGTAAGGCCTTTATATATGGGTCCTCAGTTGTTTCAGTGGAGGTTTTTTTGGGAGAATTAATTAATGCGTCTTGACAAGGTCGGACACCGAATTAATTCCAATAAAATCTTTTATTTCCGTTCTCTCTCTCGGCTCATCATAGATCCGAGAATTTATTCATCTCAGTACTTGAATTCGCTTCCTTTGTCTCGTTCTCGACCTTGGACGAGATCGTGTACGCGCGCTCTTAACAGCCACATGTGTATAGTGACAGCTAACTACTGTAACCGATTGGGTGATGTTAGCCCAAAAGTTAGTCATTCTTTGGTGACATAGCCCTTGATTTGTGTGCAATACTTGTGTTGAAATGTCAAAGTCCACATCTAGGCAGAGCGCTCAGCTCGGCATGAGTGTGATGATACATAGTTTAGATATGGTTGCCTTGTTTAGAGACTGAAGCTCGGCTTGGCGTGATAGAGCTCAGCTCAGGTGATACTGCAGTCCTCAGGAATGGTGAAGCCCAAATCGGGTATAATGAGCTCGGTCTGAGTAGTGGCTGGCGTTGCCTTGTTGATCTTGGATACTTGGTGTCGGACTCGGACCATGTCAAGTTGTTGCACGGGAAATAACTCCAGTCCCGGCCAAGGAATTGAGCTCGACCTCGGCTGCGGATTCGGGCATATCTCGATGATCTACAACATCCAAGCCTTAATCCCAAAAGATTTTGGGGTCGGCTAACATGAATCGATCCATGATATCGATGGCAAATAGAGAATACAAACAAGAAGAAGAAAAAAAGATAAAATGAATAAGATAAAGATAAATAAATACAAGGTTACAACAACATAAGAATATAAGAAAGATAAAAGATTAAAAGATAAAAGAGCATAAAAAAGCTAGAAGATAAAAATAACATAAGAACAAAAAAAGACAAAGAAGATAAACGATAAAAGAAAAAGAGAGGGAAAAAAAAGATCAATCACCCACACGAATGTGCGCCCTCCACTTTGCCCTCTCAAAAGTCATACTCTCATCCAACCCAAGAAGACGCATATCAATTCTGATTCCTCTAATCCAAGTCTGTTTGGGTCTTCCCCTCCCTCTCCTCTCTGTCTCTTCTCCCCATCCCTCAAGTCGTCTACGACATGCCCACGACATGCCCAAACCACCGCCAACGTGACTCCTGCATCTTATTTTCTATAGATACTACTCTCACCTTTTGTCTAATTATCTCATTCCTCAAGAGATCTTTATGGTATGTTTACACATCCAACGCAATATATCTCGATGATCTGAGAACCGGATTTACGCTCGGCCTCGGTGAGCTCAGCCTCGACCGATTGAGTTTGCGTTAGATGATTGTGAAGGCTCTTTCATGTAAAATCGATACCCTTGGGGTCTATGGCAATATATCCATCAAACACAATACCCGTAGGACCAAAAGCGAAATTTATTCCTTTTGGTGCCGATTGGAAAACTACACACATTGATGGACCTATACTTATTTATGAATTGAAAAGATATGTTTTTACTGTTGTAGTAATGTTTCATAAATAAATTATATGAACAAAATCAATAATTTTGGATTTTCATGTTTTTACTGGAACTCGAAGTTCTAGTGTTGATTTACGGGGCTTAAAATTAATTCATAGGCTTTTTAAAGATGGTATATTAGGGCTTGAATCAAACCTGGACCTGACCCATGCCCACCTGTAATTCAAAGTGGTAAGAAAATGAGGTGAAAAATAAAACTTGCCCAGTCATTTCTGGAAGAGCATAATCCGCTTTCCACCCAAAACGGAAATCAACACCTGGACACAAGCCAAGTGATGTCTTATTCTGAATCCTAGATATGCCATCTCCACCGAAGCAAGTACTGAGCTTCCATTTCCAGCCAATTGCATGTGAGTGAAAGCTATGGCCTACTCCTACCTGGATCAGTTGCATGTGTTCGGTAAATTATAAAAAGATTGTGCATGTCTTTCCATTAATGTGGCAAACAGGAGAGGGAGGAACCTGAAGATTCAAAAACTTTGTCACAGGGATCTTTGTAGAAAGAACACGGACTTCATGATGTAAAGGCTCATAGATGAATTTCCATAGCCGATCAGGGGATGAAGGCTTCAAAACCAGTTTTGCCATGTACTCATTGCTTGGAGCATTATAAAACTAAATTAATAGAACACGGAAAGTTACAATCACGAGCATTAAACTCAAATTCTTAGATGCTCACAAATGTTTCACAACTGAAATACAAACACAGATATAGATATAGATGTGTGTGTGTGTGTGTGAAGGCATTTGATTGTTTGCACGGCTAGTAAGCTTAACACAATCCATTGACAGTGTGACAGAAAAATAAGTTGAATTTATTGGTGCTAATCTAGACGGTGATATGGGGGGTTACACTATCTAGGAGGCCACAATGCCACATTGATAAAATTGAAATTGAAAAATAAGGGTTACATTGTATAGTTTGAGCAACTGGGGCACTATTACTCTTGCTTGGAATCCTTGGATGGAGGACATGGAAAGTAGCAAGGGGGAAAGTGCAGCAGTCTTGGTTGGGGACTTGGGGGTATGGAGGGAGGAAGTTGAAAGAGAGCCTCTTGATTAAAAAGATATTCCAAATATTATCTTTATACATTTATATTACAATACTTTCCATTAAAACAAAAATTAATGTGATGATATCAGTTGTATCATTTGCATTAATGTTTCAAAAACATAAACTCATCCACAATCCTCCCTCGGAGCGGACATGGCATCATTTTTAACTCTTAGATTATCCCCCCCTCCCTTTCATTATGAAGAATCTGGCTGATGAAGTTAAGAGTGCCACACTATTCTTAAAATCAATAGCCAACGAATCATGGGAGGATCTATGTACGGGCTATGGTAGACTGAAGCACAGGGCAACTTAGAAAATTTTCAATTTTTTGTGTAAATTTTTTCATTTTTCATATTTAGCTCACTCCTCTAATATTTAAGCCTAGTATAATTCCTATTCAGCTCAGTGCATCTCGGATTCCTGTATCCTCCCCTGCAACAAATGTTATTTTCAGCTTGGAGCTTTTTACCAGGTATACTGTTAAAGCAGCTCACACCCAAGTCCCAACAACAAACCCATCCAAATCTGCTCAAGGATTCCCAATTTAATGGAGAACTGACACCGCAAAACCGAAGAGAAGATACCAGCTAATGCTCATACAAAGCACAATCAGTAACCAAAGCGGCAAAGCCCGATCCGAAATGAATAATAATGATGATAATGATACCTCCAGATTGAGGCCAACACGAAAGCCTTCCAGTTCCTTCCTGAACTTGAGAAACAACTCAGAAGGCATCAAATTGATGTTGTAAAGCTCTTCCCAGTTTGCGGGTTCTTCTGCAGCCCCTGCCATTCTCACTTCTCAGCAACCCAGAAATTGCCGCTCCTTATCACGGAGATTAATCTTTTAAAACACCCGTGGCCCCCAATTGGAAATTTCATCAAACTAGTGTAGTAGTGTAACACCCGGGCCAATGCCCAAGTCGAGTTATTATATACTACATCCGTACCGGAAAATTGTTCTCGGAATTTAAGAAAGTGGGAATAAAGTGGAAATGTATGGTTGTGGTTGAGTAAGAAAAAGGTAAATGAATTGTAGTCACAAAAAAGGAACAATTTTCAGGGACGGAGGGAGTATATGTATTGAATTACCGAGTATTAAATTTGGATAGTTTTTTTTTTTTAAGAAATACCGGTAGAAGTTGAGAATCCTATTGGGAAAATGGGAAAATGGGAACAATTTTTTGGAACGGCCCAAAAAGGAAACAGGGAACAATTTTCAGGGACGGAGGGAGTATATGTATTGAATTACCGAGTATTAAATTTGGATAGTTTTTTTTTTTAAGAAATACCGGTAGAAGTTGAGAATCCTATTATATACTTCATCCTATTATATTCTTCATCCGTTCTTAAATAAGTACCGCATTATATTTAATTTTATATTATTCACATGTTCTACTTAATTTGATGATGTTTTATTTATTAATGTGTTAATAATTTTTTTATGAAAACATTGTTAAATTTGTATCATTTTAAATTTTCAAAATCTTATGTTTTTATTTTTTTACTAATAAAAAGTTACATATATTAATAATCAAAATTATGCATCGACAAATGTAAAAATGAATTGGCGTGCTTGTTTAAAAACGGAGGAAGTTTAAAAGGAGAAAAAGTAAATCATTTTCTTATCCACAAAAAAGGTCAAAAGTGAGTTAAAGGAGGTCAAGCGTATAACAACCATTTTATTGTTTTTAATGTTAAGTTCTATTTATTTTTCTAAATATTTATTGAATTTTATGGCCGTTCAAGTTCTCACAAATTCTTTGAATTTTGCTCGGTTAACAATGAAAGCAATCGTCTTCAATTAGAGTGAATTCCTACATTGAATAATCTATACGTTTTCAATATATTCATGCACCTTAATATAAAAAGGAATACATGTACATATTGCAATTGTCCCATGGCAATTGCAAACTTCAATATTAAGGGAGTGTTAGCGATCGCTTCTACTTTAAAAATGATTTTTAAAGTTATTTTAGAAAAAATGTGAAATAGTATTAAAAGTTGGTAGTGTGTGAGATTTTTTTTAAAGAAAAATTTGGTAGCTACGTGTAAGAAAAAAGTGTTTTTGAAGAGTAAAAGTTTAGTAATCTTTGGTAAAAATATTTCTGGAAAAAAAAATGAAAAGACAGTTTAAAGCACATCCCAATAGGCATCCAACTTTTAACTTGTAATTGCTTAATTTTAACAGAAATTATTAGGGGTGTGCACCGGTCCAAAACCGGACCGGACCGGAACCGGTTAGGACCGGAACCGGAATCATCATTTTCTGTGGACCGAAGACCGGACCTGAATCTAACCGGTCCGGACCGGTCCAGACCTGAATTTTCCGGTCCGGTCCAGGTTTGACCCTAATTGACCCGGTTTTAAAAAAAGACATACGAAGTATTATCTTATAGTGTTCTTAGTCGATCGAATTTTTTATAGGAATAAAGCTTGAATGTTGTTGTTGTTGTTTCAAATTATAATTTTATGTGTGAATATGCTAAATAGACTAAATAATTGTTTAGCTCATTTATTAATTTTGGAATATAATCATCAAAACTATTCAATTGTAACAATTAGTTTCCCACAATAATTAAAACTATAATCTTTTGTGTATATTAAAATGGCAAAATCTATTCTAGAGTAATAAAAACTAAATTACGCCCAAAAATATACTCGTATACACTACATACACACCTACAAATAAAGAAACAAATAAAAAGCGATTTGGAAAAATCAAACAAATATAAACTACGATCATAGTAGTGCACACCCGAACAAAAAAAATCATAAACAACTTAGGAAATAATTAGCCAACAAATACACAATTATATATATTCGTTTATATAATAAAAGACAAAAGTAAGCCATAAACATACTAGTAAGCCAAATATAAATGGACTAATGATATAGAACGAAGTATATATTTTACAGAACAATATGTTACCGGTCCATTCCGGTCCGGACCTGTTTTTTCCGGGTTTGACCCGGACCGGACCGGAAACCCGGAATCTTGAAAAATTAAGGACCGAAACCCGGACCGGTTAATACCGGTCCGGTCCGGACCGGTTCATTCCGGTCCGGTTCAGGTCTAAAATACGGTCCGACCCAGTTAATGCACAGCCCTAGAAATTATCACCTAAAAACACTTATTTCAATTGTAATTTTTTAAAGACAAAAGCTGAAAAACATTTTTTTAAAGTTATTGCAAATACTCTTTAATAAATATACATTTTTTACTATGTTATGTTTGGTTATATTAATTTAGTTGATTATGATTCTGCTTTGTACTTTGTAGCCAAATTACAATATTTAAGATGCAAAAAATGACTAAATGGCAAAAGTGTAATATATCTATAGCTCATTTTGTAGCTCCTCTTTTACAGTTTTTAGTATTATTAGTTATATTTTTATCAAATAAATCTAGAGCCCATTTTGTAACTTTTTTATTTTGCATACTAAATTGTGTAATAATCAAAATAGGTAGGGTTAAAGTTATTTTTATTACTTAATTAGCTGGAACTTTCGGAAAGGACTATTTAAGCTATTTTTCATCTAATTGACTGAAACATCGTTTAAAACATTTTTTTTGTGACTTGACCTCAATACTTGAATGTTAAAGATGTTTTTACTTGGACTGTAATTTGACCCAGACCAGACCAAACTAGATCAGACCAGACCGGACTGGACCAAACTTGGGTAGTTATAAGAATATAAAGAAATCGGACCAGACCAAACTTGAGTAGTTATAAAAATACAAAGAAATCAGACCAGACCAGACCAGTTCAAACCAAACCAGCAAATTACAGTCCAAGTAAAAACGTCTTAAATGCCAAGTCCTTGACTGAGATGAGTTTCAAACTTGTGACCTCCTCCTTAGGAGTGTACAGTAATATCACTGAACCACAAAATATTTGACATATATTAATTTATATTCTTACTAAACTAAATATTAGACTTCTCACGTTGTTTAATCGAGCCCCATAATATTCATAATATATCATTTTCATTTACCCCAGTGCCGCAAAGGCTCCCACCTACGGTGGGGTCCCATAATATTCATAATATTGTTATAAATCATCTAGAATTGTCAACTAATTAAATGTTATGGAGAAGAGTCCTACAATTACTAAATGACACATCATTGTTTCAATACTATATCTGTTAGTCAATCATAGAGTGACACATCATTGTTTCAATACTCAGCCTTACTATATAAAACAATAGATTGGAAAACAAGTTTGCGACCCTTTTTGGCTTATCAAATTTAGATTTAGAAAACATAGAATTGGTTTACTTTTCTCGTTGTATTGACTAAAGTTGTTCGACTATTTTTCATATAGTTTTCCCTTTATTTTATTAATAAAAAACATTTTAAATATATTTCTCTTGTTATTTACTCTTGTTATTTTGTTTTGTTTATTTTCCACGCGTTGGAGGTTGTTTTTGTTTTGGCTGTGCTGCGTTTTTCCAGCAAAGATACTTATGAAACTAACATAGGAACTGATGTGTCGTGTCTACAAGTCAAAGGCTCAGATAAGTCCAAAGCGGGATCAGCGAATTATATGGCTTCTACAGAGGTGATTAATTCAGAGTCTGTGTTTGTCCCTGTTTCAACAATCAAACTAACAATAATCTGATAGAGTAGAGAAGAAACAGTTTCTATTCAATACCGAAAATGATATTCGAAATACAGAGTTGGGTATCGAGAAACTAAGTATCGACTCTCTCTCTCTAAGAATGATATGCGCGTGAATTAATCTGTCAAGCCTCCTTTGCACATTCCCTTAAAGGCAATATTTATATGCCTAGGGAATGTGTGATGTGACCTAAGCATGATTGGGCTCTTTTATTGATTGAGCCCAATAGCACACTTTACACATTTCCTAAGAAAGCTAGTCTAATAATAGCTGAAATATCTAGACAAAATAGATACACAAATACAAAGATATTTATCAGGATTGGACACCAGAAAAAGTCCTAACAATCTCCCCCTTGGTGTTCAATCATGTTCAATCAGCATTGTAGCGCGAATATCTTTGTCTTTGTGTTTATTCAGCAATGTAGAGGAGAGCGTAGATAAGATTGGTTGAGTTGCTCCTCTTTTGTCTTGATCTTCAGTGCAGCTCAGCTTCCTTTGTCTTGGTCTTGAGCTCGACTTCTTCAGAAGGCTTTCTGAAGAAATCCTTGCAATCTCCCCTTTGATGTCTTCTTGGCAATTTGTTCTTGATGTCAGAGTTTGAGGAATCTTCAAAGTCTTGCTTGTAGTCCTTGCCTTCTAGAAGTTGCTCTTGATCAGCTAAAATGAATTCCGACAGTGCCTTTGGAGCATGTGTTCGGTTGATTTCCAGGCGCACATGGGATTCATCTTCAAATTTGATTACCCGACCTCTGTCTCCTTCAATGTGTAGGTGGCACAGCGGAAAAAGATTGACTTTGAGGAGATCTCGTCGGTGGCACAGCGGAAAGAGATGGTTAACTTCTGAGTTTAGCTGACCATTTGATGATTTGAGAGAATAGAGAGCCGTCGTTAATTTTTGTGATAGAGGAGAGAAGTGTCCAAGAAAGATTTGTTGATAGTAAACAGCATGTGGACCATTCTCCCCCTCATGACGATCCGATGAATCGGGACGTCATGCTTTCATTCTTTTATTCTGGATAACAAAAATGAAAAAGAAAAAAGGTAAGGTAAAAACCGGAGACACCATAGTGTTCCGTTATCACAACATCAATGTAAACACCGATGTGTGGCCTGTATAAAATGATGGAAGCATTAAAGCTCTAACAGGACTTCCAACCAGTCATTGTGAAGCATCTGAAGTAGATGTCACTCTGGTTGTTATGGCATGATCATAAAGATCAGCAATGAAAACCTTGTAGCCCCCCGGGGTCGCGTAGACACCCGTTATCATCACCA